CCGTGCACTGCCCCCCCCGGATCGTCCCCAGACAGAGCCCTCCATCCAGCCACGCGAGCGCAGGGAAGAAGTAAGACCGTTCGGGCCACTTCACTCTGACAGGCATGAACCATGAAGCATGCGGAAGCTGCTTCTCTGCTGTAGGCCTCCTGGGGGTATCCCTGGGAGGCTTTGAGCCCGCCTCAGTGGGGCATCCCGGAGCCACGCCAGAGGCCATGCTGGACCAGCATGGCCCTTCGGACGCCCTCTCCGGACGCCTGCTTCGCCTCCTCCCGCCCTGTCCGGCCGTGCCTGGCCTCAAGACGGAGCCGCCAGCTGACAACAAAGCACGGTCGGGGTGTCGCGGAGTCGGGGTCCCGTGGGGCAAGGGCCCTGACTCCGGGGCATCAGCTTCCACTCGCGCCAGAGCCTTGCAGTCCTCGACAGGAGCTGCCAGGCCCAAAGGAAGCGGGGCGGCGGGGCCTGCCCCCCTTGGGGGGGCGTCCCCGATGTATCGGCGATGCCTTGGCGATGCATTGGCGACGTCGGCGATGCATCGGCGGCGTCGGCGTGGGGAAGCACGGCCTCCACATCGAGCCGCATCGTCGATGCATCGGCGACGCGGCGCGATGCTCCGACCCCATCTACTCGGACCCCATCTAGGAGGCCCAGAACGACTTGCGTCGAGACGGATGCGGAGCCACACCCGCGGTCTGGTGGGCTCACTGCGGCGCCCCATGAGGTCTTTGGCGTAGATCGGGCGTGTCCCCCTACAGGCGGATTTTGGACGACAAATACACAAAACAAATATTCAAAAAAAGTCAAACATGATCGACCCACGAACCCGGAAAGGAATATAGAAATGTAAGGCATTGCAACATTTCAAAGACACCTGATTGGGCGACGGGCACATGCAATGCTGAATGTATCGATGATGATGTACTGTGCCGAGGGCTGTGCTGTGCTACGCCGTGCTGAACTGCGATGTGCCATGCCGCGATTGTGCTCTATATAGCGTTGGGGATCGAGTCCTCCCTGGCATCGGAGTCCTCACCAAACTGATCTGGAGCGCAAGCTCGAGCTGCCTGAGCAGATGGTAGCTGCCCCAGAACTAATCGACAGAGGGAACATGCCAAGAGGACGCGCCGAGGAACGTCCCAAGGGACGCGCCAGGCGACGTGCCAAGGGACGTGCCATGGGTCGTAATATCCACAACCTTCTGTGAGACGAAGCCGACCGCAGCAAGCGACCGCAGGGAGGCGAGCAGAATCGGAGACCCCCGAGGTTCCCCACGGATGTGTGGGAACATAAGAGTAAAGAAGCAGAGAACAGTTCCCAGAGATGAAACGAGATATACAGAGAGATATCGAACTATGGAGCGACGGAGAGAAAGAGAGAGGGAGGGGAGAGCAGAGAGAGAAAGGGAGAAAAGAGGGACAATGATAATAGGAAGCGCAGGGGAGGAGAGGAAGAAGAGGAGGTGGGAAGGCGAGGCGCTCCAAGGGTGCTCACTCAACTTCATGGCCTCCTAAGTATATACCATCCGTCCCAGGTCTGAGCAATATGACGTGCGCATGCGGAACGATTTGTCAGTCCTGGAACCCCGATCGGGGACAAGGGCGAATCAAGAGCGCCGTTCCCCCAGGATGGACGCCGGGGACAATGGGATAATCTTGGGACGCGGGTCCGCCGAAACACACCTGTCGCGAAATCCACGATGGGACGAGGGTCGAAAGCAGCTGTTTTCCCCCCCCATTCTACGCGATACCGAATGTTGTCGCTCGAACCCGCCGCTTGCTTGGGGGGCTCTAGGGTTCTCTTTCGTGGATTTCGACCCTCGCCTCATCGTGGATTTCGCGAAAGTGTGCGCAGCATCGGTCGGTCGGCATAGTGAGGCTCCAGGATAAGTGAATAGAGCCCTAGCCCCTGGTTCATCTCCTCATGCCTCTCTCCCCCTTTCTATCTATCTCTCTTCTCCTCATCCCTTTGTCGTGTTTTTCCGCCTCCCCATTTGCAGCGTTGTCATGCAGCCAGGTGGTGTTTCCAGGACGGTGTCCTTCTCCTCCCTGATGCCCCCTCCACTCAATCCTACTCGAAATCTCCTTCCCCATCCATCCTCATTATCCTTCTCCTTCCCTCGCTGCCGCTCTGGCCCGCGTCCGCGGGCCCGCGTCCGCCGGCGCGCGGCGTCCGCCGCCGTCCGTCCGCCAGCCTGCCGGGCCCCGCCGGGCAACCTGGCGCAGCGGCGCAGGCGCGCTCACTCCTGGCGGGGGGCTGGCGTCGACGGGTCCACGGGTGGCCAGGGGCGGCCAAGGGCGAGCGGGGCGAGGAGTGGGAAGAGGAGGAGGAGGAGGAGAGGAGAAGGACAAGGAGGAACCACGTATACGACGTGACGATGAGGAGGATTAGGAGAAGGGGGCGATGCTAAAATGATGAGTATTCGGATGAGCGCGCTCACGGACCGTTAGCGCCCCGTGGCAGCCCCTACCTCCTCCCTCTGGGGACTTGGGTGCATTCGCGCCTTTTCAAGACGCGAGGCCGCGAGGACGACAGAGCCGATGAGTCGCGGGCGGGTCGAGAGGCGAGCGGGTCGCAATCGTCATCATCATCATCATCACCACCACCATCACCATCATCATCATCATCACCACCAGTATCGGTATAATCATCAGCATCATCACCATCACCATCGTCATCATTCACCCGAATCATCATCATCAGCTTCATTATTGCCATCATCATTGTCATATCACATCATCCCCTAGTCCTTAGTCGATGGGCGCGGCTACAACGTTACAACTTGAATGCCGCTCCGAGCGGGCAGGCGAGAGATAGGAAACGCGCGCCTCGCTCTGCCCCCACCACTTCTCGGTCGGAGGGACGGTCCCAAGAGGGCCCCAGACGGCTCCAAGAGGGCCCCAAGACGGCTCCAAGAAGCCCCCGCACCAAGATCGGCCACGTGGCTTCGCATGACCGCTGTTGGGGCCTGTTGGAGCCACCCTTAACACCTAGTGGGGTTGTTTCATGTCCTTGGGGATGGCCCCAAGATGCCACCAAGACGGTTCGAGGGCCCCAAGAGCGGTCACACCAAGCATCTCTGGCGCGACTGTTGTTTGTGCTCTCTTGGGGGCCTCTTGGAGTCATTTCGGGGCTGCCTGGGAATCTTTCCCATGGCCATCGGAAGGGCCGAAGAGAGACTGACCCAACGGCCCCCGGGGGCCCCTAGATGGGCCCAAGACGGCCCCAAGGGGGGCCCACAAGCCGCCAATGAGGGGACCGAACGACTCACTTGCGATGCAACCCACCCGCGACCCGCCCCCGACCCACTGGCGCAGCGAACCACACAGCAAACCACACGCGACCCACCCGCACCGCGGCTCGCCCGCTCCTCGCCCCACCCGCCGGGACGACAACCACAACAGCAACAGCAGCGACAGCAGTCACCACCACCACACCACACCACCACCAACAACAACACAAACACCAACAACGACATCAGCAACAAACAGCAGCACGAACAATGGCATCACCAACCGCAGCGGCAACGACAACGGCAACGGCGGCAACAACAACAACAGCAACAACAAGAACAATAACAAACATAACCTTCACCGCTGACCCCACTTCGGCAACGCACCCAGGGACCCATGGACATTGTAAGACCGCTGAGCTCGGCCACACGAGGGAACGCGCTGGGAAGGGGATGGGAAAGGAGAGGAGGAGCTGAGGATGAGGAGGAGGAGGCAGAGGAGCAACATGTGGGTGCACAGTTGCACGGTCATCAACGCGCCCATCGCATGCTGAAACGTGATGGCAGGACGGAAGAAGGAAGGCAACACTGCGTGCATGCTATGCATCGGCTCTCTTGCACGGGGGTGCGCGATGCAGGGAGGGAGGACAGGGAGGACTGCCCGCCACCAGGATGCACCATTAGGACGAGATGGCTGAGGATGGGGAGGTGGGAAGGAGGATGAGGACACAGAGGAAGAGTTACGAGTACAAGATTACAGGGAGGAGGCTGATGGAAAAGGGTGGGCGACGACGCAACAAGGACGAAAGGCGAGGAGGCCCAGGGGCAGTCACACTTTCCTGCAGATCAGGCAGGCGCTGACAGCGCCAACTGTTTGTTTGTGCATGATATTTTATTATATAATGCACGAGCCGCGCCATAGCGCGGTCCGCGACGAAGGCTCACCCAGGACGCCCACCAACTCCCATCCACCGAAAACCTCATCACACTCCCGCACTCCCGCCATCTCTGGAGGAGGCCGGCGACCTGGGCTGCCTCCGACGGAAGGCACAGAATGGCGGCGTGCCAACGCGCTCGGCCGCCACCGCCAAACTGCAGGGCGAAGACAAAAGGAGGAGGAGGAGGAGGAGGAGGAGGAGGAGGAGGAGGCAGGGGATCAGAGGATGAGCAGGAGGGGAAGGAGGAGGAGGAGGAGGAGGATCGGGGGAGATAAGAAGAAGGACAGCTGCATGACATGACAGAGTGGAGTGGGGAGCAGGATCAGAGAGGAGGGGCGAGCGTAGAAGAGGCGCAGCGCGCAGTGCGCAGCTTGCGCAGTTAACTTTGAAAATACTCGAGGTGCGCTAAGACAAACAGACACCCTGTGTATATCTGCCCCCCTCCTTCCCGTCATTATTTTAATTATTATCCTAATCCCTCTCCGATCCTCTCCCTAGCTACTGCCACCGCGTACTACACTGCTGCACTTGCTTCTCAGCCCCCCCCGTCTCGACGCGCACGAATTAGCCCTGGGCCAGCCACGAGACGGCCTGGCGCAGCACATTGCGACGGAAACCGTCGACGGAAACCATGTCGGTCCGTAGCCTGTCGGTCCTCGCTCGGCCCAGCGCAGACAAAAATGCATAGGACTGGACTCCGGACCTGGCGACCTGACCTCCCCGGGGCCTTCCCGACATATGATTTTCAAACACAGCATCTTGATATCACCCTCCCCTCCCACCCCTTCCACGCTTTCAAGGTCCCAGGGTTCCTTGGTGAGTCCGAAAAGGCATCATTTTGTAAGATGCCTGCATGCTGCTTTGAGCGACTTATCGACATCGCTGCTCACGGGCTTCCCCCCCGGCTGAAGGGAGTCGCCGCCGCCCGGCTGCTCGCGGACCCTGGCAATCACGCCGCCCGTGCCAGCAAGCGCGGAGGAAGCTGTGTCACTCGAGGCCGCCGCTGCCTGAGCAGCGCTGGCGGTGGCACGCTGGCGGCGCTTTGCCTCCGCCTCATCGGGCGTGAGCATGCGCTTCAGGTACGTCACGGCGTCAGGCGCCGAGGGGGGTGCGCCCTGCTGCGGCGGCTCCGGCTGGTAGCGCGCGAACGGGATTGACACCTTAAAAGCGTACAGAGTGACCCCCGTCGGGACCTCATCCTGCGACGGGCCCAACACCTCCAAAAACGTGCTGTCGGCGTCGGCCGCATTGGGCCCCGGGCCGACGACTGGTGCCATGCCGCTGTCACCAGTGCCTGCAACCCCCTCACTCTGCTTAGCTTTCTTCGCTGGCGGCTGTGCTGGAGCGTCATCTCTGGGCCTGCCGCCGCCGTCGCTGGGGTTCTCGCGGTCTGGCTCCGACATGATCGCGATGTCAGTGAAATAGAGGTCGAACCCGACAGTGGCATAGACAGTCTCGACCAGGAACAGCGTCTGAACATTGGAGTCGGCCTGCTTGTCAACCACGTTGATACCCCATGCTGGCACGATCATGTCGCTCGCGTTGGTGTTCACCGCAGTGCCATTCAGAAACATCTCGAAATTGCCACTGAACAAGCTACACAGAGGCATGAAGTTGGCCCTGCCCTTCACGAACGTCACGGGGGCAGCGAAGATAAGATCCACGGGCTTGCTTGCCAAGCACGCAGTCTTAGGCTTCTGGCCAGAAACATCCACTGACACATTGTCCGCAGCTGATGCGGCCCCGCCGCTGAGGTGGGCCAACCCGTGCAGCTTCCATATATGCGCCGTCAGCTGCGACTCGATGCACTTCAAAGCAGGCCCGCCGATGAGACGCACGAAGTCGTGGCACTGGGCGGTGGGCGCGGCACACACGTACAGGTCGCCAACTTTGACCAACAACTTGTTGTGCTGGTCGGCCTGCACAGCGCCGGCGGCTGAGCCCCCTCCGCCCTGGGCCCCATCCCGGATGCTCCGCTCCCGCTTCAGCTTCCTGCTGCCGACGCTCGTCGCCACGCCGAGGATGGCTGCGATTTTGCCTCCCCCAACGCCGCCCTTGATGAGGACGCCCCAGAAGCCGACCCACTCCTGCTCGCCTCTCTGCATCGCGTCCGAAGCATACACCTCGATCAAATCTTTCTCGGAAATATTGGCAATGAACGCCTTGACGGCCTGGGCTGGAAGAGCGGCCCCGTCTCCATCGCTGTGGTGGAACTCTCCGATTGGCTTCGAGTCAATCAAATCTTTGATCAAACAGCTCGTGAGCTCACCGCGGAAATGCATTAATTTTGCAAGATCGGCACCGCCACTCTTGCACATGGTTCCAAACGCAACTGGCATCTCACAAGTGTCATTCACATGGGCGAACACGTTCACGATCATGTCCACGCAGGACACAGTGAACACGCCAAGCTCATTCACCTGGGCTGGCAGAGCGGTAGGTTGCAAGCCCCCCCCCACCCGGGGAGGGCGGGGGGGAGGGGGATGGGCCCAGGAGGGGGAGGAGGAGGAGGAGGAGGAGGAGGAGGAAGGAGGAGGAGGAGGAGGAAGAGGAGGAGGAGAAGGAGGAGGATTGAGGAGATGGAGGAGGAGGAGTAGGAGTGAGGAGGAGGAGGAGGAGGAGGAGGAGGAGGAGGAGGAGGCTGAGGAGGAGGAGGAGGAGGGGGGGGAGGAGGGGGAGGAGGAGGAGGAGGAGGAGGAGAAGGAGGCGGAGAAGAGGAAGAGGGGCTGACAGCCCCGGGGGCTGGCGAGGAGGCGGGGGCGGTGCCCGGCTGCCTGGGCCCCCTGGGGGCCCCTGGGCCCCTGGACGGCGAGGATGGAAGCGGGAGAGGGGCCTGAGGAGGGGCAGGTTTGGCGATGGACGGTGGAAGAGATGGCGGTTTCTGAAACGATGCTAGCCACCCCGGACAGGATCCCACAGAGGAACGCGGGCAAGGCCATGGTCTGATCTGGGAGCTTCTGGAGGATGTTATTGAGCAGCTGCGGGTAGAACTGCTGAAGGTTCGCCTTCAGCTTGAGGGCGCGGTTCGTGCTCACAAACTCTTCGAGCTTCCTGAAATCATCCTTGTAATGTACTTGCAGCGAGTCGTCCATCTTTTTCTGGGGATCAGAGCTGGCATCGACGGCGGCAGAGGTCACCAACGCCTTGAGGATGGCGTTTGGGTTGGGCGCTCGAGACTTCTCTGGGCCAGCTGCTGCCGCGGCTGCCGCGTCGCCGGCTGGGGTCTCCTCGTCGTCGTCGCCGTCGGCCCAGAGGATCAGCTTCTCGGCGGCGTCCCTGGCGCTCTCCTGGAGCGTCTTGCGCAAGAGACTCCAGGCCGCCCAGTGACACCCCTTGAAGTAGACCTTCTTGTCCTTCCTCCACAGGAACTCTAAGCCGATGTTGACAAGCTCACCCTTGATCTTCTTCACGCCTTCCTCGAAGCGCTCTGGGCGCTTGCACGCTGCCTCCACCGCGGAGTCCACCGCCATCAGCAAGTCGTCGCCGAAGAACCTGGGGCCGCGAACGAGCGAGTGGGAGGCGCCGACAAGGGGCGAGGACATTGGGCGGGCCAAGCGTCGAAGGCGCCCGAAGCCAGCGTCGCAGCATGGCGTCGGGTCGCGTTTCGGCGCCACGCTCGCCCAATGCCCCTGCCCGCTGTCTGCTGCCCCCTCAGCTCCCCGTTCGGGCCCCGGAGCCTCTCGCGGGCAGATGACATGTCGAGGTCGCTCTTCAGCTCGAGGGACATGGACTCCACCGGGGGCAGATCTGCGGGGGCGGCGGAATCCTGCTGAGCGGAAGCCTTGGCCTTGGCCTTGGCGGCCTTGCCACCCTTTGGCTTGGCCTTGGCCTTAGCCTTCGTCTTGGCCACGGACTTCTTGTACACCTGGGAGTCCTTGTCCAAGGGGAAGCACAGATACTGCAACCTCTCTGTCACTGAAGCGCCGCCTGCGTCAAATAGCCAAGGAATTCTGCGCTGCTGACTGGAAGGGCGGCACGGGACAACAAACTTGATGCTTTCACCCACGAGGACCCTCAAGTTCAGTGGAGACATGTACCCGTCGAACTTGGCAACGATGAAATTCGCGATGGCGTGCATATTGCTGATGACGATGTGCTGCGAGATGCGAGAGTTCATGAACTCAACGTGCTGACCCGCCCACTCGAAATGATCATGGAGGACCTCGAGCTTGAGCAGCTTGCGATACAGGCACTTTGCAGAGTCGAACTGCGCCCACGATGTGACCTTGTCCCCGTAGCGATCCTTGATGTGCTTCCAATAGGCCTGCTCGTAGTTGCCGGAGCGCGCGGTGACGTGGCCCTCCTTCGCGGCATGCCAGCTCGCCTACTAGGCTGGGGGTTGGGTCGGGCCAAAGGCGATGCTCCACGGACCCCAAGAAACCCAGAACCCAGAACCCCACGTTCAAGACCCAATGTTATTTCTTCTTTGGGTAGAAGAAGTAGAACTGGGTCCCTGGGTAACCTTGCCCTGCCCTGGGTAGACGGGCAGGATCCAACCTGCCCCAAACAAGCCGAATAAAACGAACAAAGATCACATTCCGCCAATGGCCCGAACCAAACCCCCCGACCATACTCAACCATGCTCAATACGTCGTGCCTCCATCTCCGGGATCTCTTTCAAGAACTCAATGTATGAGTAGGTGCTGCCGCGCTGGAAGACTGAGTTGTTGTGGTAATCGCGGAGCCACACCCGCAACCATTTGGGCATCTTCGATGTGAACCTCCTTGCCATGATGCCGCCTTTGATGGTCTCCATCACTTGCGGGTTGGTGGGCTGCTTCTCTGCCAGCTCGTAGATGGCGCCTGACCTCCCCCCCAAGGTGAGAGCGTGGTACGGCGGCACCTCGCCATCCGAACAGCAAAGCCAGGGCTCCCCGGCAACTCCAGGAACGAGGCCGCGATCCGCGATGCTGGACATCAACTCCTCCTTGACCGACTCCTGCTTGCGCTGGTTGCAAGCGTCGCGGAAGATCTGCCTGTGCCCTTTCTCATCGAAGAAGCTCACGTGGGTGGGCGATGGCTTGAGCTCGTAGAGTTCGAACACCTTCGTGAGCCTGAGGAGGCCGCTCTCCACGCCAAGGACGTCGACGACGTCCTGATCTTGGCTGAAGAAGGCCTTCAAGAGATCCTGCGGGGCGTTCCTGTCAGCTGCAGCCAAGGCCGACTGGTCAATCTGCCGAGGTTGCTGCGCAGCTGCTGTCGGGGCGCCACCGCTCGACCCACCGCCCGTAGCAGGCGGAAGCGCAGCCGCCATCGCAGACTGTCAAATCCAGCGCGAGTGCGCCTCGGTGGTCTCGCCTTCACACAGAGGCGAAGCAGGGCACAGTAGTAGTAGTCAGACTTGCACCAACTGCAAGTGCAGCAACAATGGCTCGAGGCAAATGCTGTAATGCCGATGGGCTTGGGATTGGGGTCGGGTTGGGAGGGGGCGGTGGCGCGGGGCCTCTCCTTCTTCCCCCCACAGGACCAAGGAGGAGGAGGGGAAACGATTCGCTTGAGGACGAGTGACGAGGAGCATAGGTCCAAGGGCCTCCTGCGAGCCCCGAGCACTGCGCTCCAAGTCCTCACCTCAAGTGCGTCGGTGTCCCCCCCACTTGTTATTAGAGTCTGTCGTTTCTCTAACTTGAGTCAGCCAGTAAGATTTGTGTTCAATCAGTCTGTCCAGTGTTACGAGTCATGTTTCAGCCAGTGAGTTAGCACAGTGATTGTTTTCGTTTTGACCATGCCCCCCTACGCGGTTCCTGCCCACATGTATTTCTGATCCCAGATTGCACCCTATCCAATCTACTCCAGTGGCAGAGGCAACCGCGCTTTTGGAATGCCGATGGACTTCGACCCCGAGTGATCTCTTTACCCCTTTGGTGCAAGACCGCTTCAGGAATGGATTTCGATGCGTTTTGTTCATAAGTGTGTACGTCGATCCTTCGAACCCATCCCTGCATTCGATCTCCACGTCTCCTGGCCCATGCACCCCCTGGCCATAGTGCCATAGTTTCCCTGATATCACGCCGTTGCCATTAACCAGGCGACCCCGTTCCTCTGATTCGGAGACTTCCCCACAATTCAAGGCGCGCGTTGTGGGCCCCCCGGGCCCACGATTGCACGCAGCGGACCCCTGGGCCCATGATTGAAACGACTCGAAAATACGCGGGCACACCGCGTGGGAAAGCGCAGAAAAACGCAGCGCTGGGCCCCAGTCCCTCACTTGCTCCTCTCGCCCAGCGACCCGCCCTCCCGAGCGTCGCTCGCCCGCGCGGCAGGCAGACCCGGCCTGCTGGCTCGCGATGGCGGCGATCTCGGCCGAGTCCTGGGGGTCGCGAGGCGCCCGGCTCGGCATGCTACCATCTCCTCTCGCCCGCGATGGCATCGCGCCCCCAATCCCAGCAGTTGCGGATAGGGGAGCGACGATGGCCCAATTGTGGCCACCATCCCGCGGGCCCACCAAGGCCCCGTCCGCGGCGGCGCAAGACCGCCCCCCCCCCCTCGCCCCAATCTGGACCACCCACGGGAGGAGGAGGAGGAGGCAACGGGGAAGAAAGCAATAGCATATGAGGAAGAGGCGGGGAGGCGGGAGATGGAAAATGCGAGAGTGCTGAGACGGGCGAACACTTGCTGCAAGACACCCCAGGTGGACCGCCCCGGCACCCCTTTGGCGCCAGCCCAGGGCCCCCATGGGGGCAGCGAGGGGCCTTCATGGAGCCCCAGAGCTGAGAGCTGACAGAAAACTTACTTTGGTTAACTCTCGGCGCTTAAGATGGTAGGACACGTTACGGACACGTTGTTGTCCTAGGATGGGTTAGAGCATTCTAAACCACCCTCAACATCCTAAACATCCTAAGCCATCCTAAGCCCTCCAAAATCATCCGACCAAAGAAAAACACATTCCTGTCCGCTAAAGCGCTTGCCCTGCCGAGCCCCCCCCCATGCCCCCCCCCCCCCCTCCCCCCGCGGTCCGCGGCCCAGCCTCCAAGGGCCCTCGCGGGGTTTCCGAGGGCGCGCCCGAGCGCGCGGGAAGGACAAACGGAGGAGCAGAGGGAGAGCGAGGATGGATGGAGCAGGAGGGCCACGGCCCGAAGATCCCCCCCACAACTCGTGGCGACGTGAGTTGGATTGTACTTGCTATCTGCGTTGCATCTTGCCCACTGGCCCACAGCTTTGCGCGTCGTCACGCGGGCCACCGCTTGCCTGCAATGCGAGCGCGGTGCCGAAACCATGTGGGGGCGAGCGGGCGCCGCGCCTGGAGAGACGACGCAGCAGCGACAGGCGTCTGCGACGTGCCCGGCTGGCAGGGCCCCCACAGGCCCGCAGTCTCGAAACAAACGGCGAGCGGGCGCCGCGCCCGGGGCGGCGACGCGGCGGCGATGCGCGACAGCGACGCGCCCGGCGGGCAAGGCGCCCACAGGCCAGGAATTCTCTGCACGCGGATCATACTTAAAGATGAACGCTTGAAATCAATTATGCTCCAGCTGCGCTGACACTAACATGCCGATCTCGAACGCGGCCCCCGGGGCCCCTCCATGCGATCACGATGTGTCTCTCGGCAGCTGGAGCCGCGCAGCCGCGCGGAAGGCGAGCGCATCCAATGATATTATATCATATAAGTGCACGACCTCAGCTCACCCTGGGCGCCCCGAGGATACATGATCATGCTAAAGTGTGTTTAAAAAAAAGCCCCAGCCGAAAAAGGTGGGTAGCGCGCATCTGGCCCAGCATCGTAGCATCGAAGCAACGAACCGACCAGAGTATCTTTGCAGGGCTGTCAACAAATGCGCGGGCTCTGGCTGGGCCTGGGCAACCCACGTACTCACTCTGAACACACTGTCGATATATGTGAGACACACGTGACACTACGTTCATGACATACACATTATATTCATTTCTAGCCAGGCCCGCGCAGATGCAAACCTATAGATTCAGCCGCCCTGACGGCATGCTGGTCATGCACACATCATATCATAGAAAAGGTTACCGAACGGTCTTGCAGTGTTCCTGGGTCCCTGGGCGCGTGGCTGCAATGGTGATCGGGATCCGCGGTGAGGAGTATGCGCGTTGCTTATGTTGGTGATTTTTCTCCGCCAGGCTGCCTGACTGCGCGCCAACTGCTCGTGTTTCCCAGGCACGCGGCGAGTGGAATACGCGAACATCTGACATGCAGTCTGGCAGTCAGTCAGGCAGGTCAGGCAGGCTGGCGGCAAACAGATGGTGTTGGTGGTGTTGTCGTTGTTGGTGTTGATGTTGCTCTTGATGTAGTTGCTGTTATTGTTGTCGTTGGTGTTGTTGTTGCTGCTGCTGTTGTTGTGTTTGCTGTTGGTGGTGTTGTGGTTGTGTTTTGTTTGCGTCGTTGTATGAGCGGCGGGTGGGTCGCGGCGCGCGTGGGGCTCGGACGGTCGCGGGTCCGCGGGTGGCTGTTGGCGCCAATGGGTCGCGGGCGGGTTGCGCGCGGGTCGCGGCGCGGGCGAGTCGTTCGGGCCCCTCAGCGGCGCCCTCATTTTTAGAGCCGACTTGGGTCCGTTCTGGGGCCGTCTTGGTGCCCTCTTCAAGCGCAGTGAACCCCACGTCAGGCCCTGTCAGGCCCTCTCGGAGCTGTCTCCGGGCCCTCTTGGGCCCCTCCGCCGTGTGAGCCCCAAGGTGGCCCCGCCAATGGGTCAACGTGTAGTGCAGGATCAAACTCTATCCTACATCCCCCGCCCCCCCCCCCCCCCCAGGCCGCCCTACAAAGCGACCGCCCCGCCACCGTCGCCGGCCCGAAGTACAAGGGTAAGAACCACTTCGATCTACATCACCCCCAGCTCCACCCTACGAAAACGGCGACCCCACCACCGCCGTCGGCCCAGTGTAGGGTCAAACTCGATCCTACATCCTTGCGCCCATGAAAACGGCCACGCTTCCGCCGATGACACAGTTGGGCTCCAACTCGATCCCGCATCACCATTTTCACCGCCCTGAAGCAACGGCACTGGGGCACTCTTGGAGCAGTCTCGGGACCTCCCGGCGCCATTCCCAGGGCCCCCAGGCACGCCATACGGCCCCAAGATCACACCCCAACGTGTTCAAAGATGGCCCCAAGAGCGGCCGCCTGAATATTATCTCGCGCGGCCGATCTTGGGGCCCGCTTGGGCGTCGCTTGGAGCCGTCTAGGCGCCCTCTTGGAGCGCTCATTGAGCCCCCGACCGAATACTGAAAGGACCGAAAGACTTACCTCCTCGCTCCTCCCTCTGAGGCGAGCGTTTCCCCCCTCCTCCCTCCTTCCTCTGGGGCCCTCAAGTGCTCTCGGGCCCCATCTAAGGCGAGCGGGTGGCGGGGCCGATTGGCCGCGGGCGGGTCGCGAGGCTGGCGGGTCGCAAGTGGGTTGCAGGCGCCGCGCCAGCCCGCCCGCGCCCTCGCTCTCATCCGCAGTTGCGGGTTGCTACGTATATGATAAGTACACACCTGCGACATGTGCGAGACTCGCTGCTCGAGCGGGCCCCCCCGCTGCTCACTTGGCGTTGCCCACCCGAGCCGGCACCGGGCACGAATCGCCGAACACGTCGAGTGCGTCCTCGGCCTGAGCTTGGGACTGCGACCGCTCGCCTTCAAGGCGCTCCGAATTCTCCCTCTCCTCGTTGCCCCTCGTGCGTGTGTTGTAGATCCTCTTCATGCGAACGGCGTGGCCAGCGGGCAAGATCTTCCTGCTTGGCCATTCGCATCATATCACGTCCCACAGCCTCCTCCTCCTCCTCCTCCTCCTCCTCCTCCTCCTCCTCCCTCATCTCCCCTCCTCATCCTCCTCCACCTCCTCCTCCTCAGACTCCTCCTCCTCCTCCTCCTCCTCCTCCTCCTGCTCCTGCTTCGAAGGAGTCTGTAACAGTAACGCCCTCGCTCGCAGGCTGTCGACTGCGTTCTGATTGGGATAACACATGCATGGGTGTTTCAGCGGGCCCGTCCAGAACTGCGCAGAGACCGCTGGTTTCGGGCGATGTCTATGTCATCGGCGCAAGTGGAGCCGCCTTGGGGCCCGCTTGGGGCCCTCTTGGAGGCCCCCAAAGAGCTCCAAGAGGCACAGGAGGACCTCTTTGGGGCCGTTTTGGGGCCCTCTTGGAGCCCCAAGAGGGGTATATAACTAAGGTGGTGTGTTATATACGCCCCCGCGGCCCTCCTGGGGCCGCCTTGGGGCCCGCTCGGGGCTCTCTTGGAAAACCCCAAGGAGCTCCAAGAGGCCCAGGGGGGCCTATCTGGGGCCGTCTCGGGGCCCGCTTGGAGCCCCAAGAGGTGTAT